AACGGCAGAGAACATCTTGCGTCGGTTGGGGCACACTGACGAGGAAAGGATTCATGACAGCTTATGATGATTGCTCACAATGAGACAATGGAGGGGTCCAGTGCCAGTCAGGGCCCTCAGTGCCTAGCGTGGGGCCCTCCAACCCAATTCGAGCAGGGTCTCGTTAAGCCGAACTAGGGTCCATGTGCCAATTATTGGGCCACCTGCGGCGATCAGGAATGTTGTTGCGTCAATGAGGGTTTCTGGGTCGATCCGGGGTTAACTGCGGTCTGCGAGGGTCCGAAAGCCCCCCGCGTCATGGGGGGGGGGGGGGCGATGTGATATGATGTATCCTCTAAGAGTCTCCAGATCGGCCAGGCGATCCCGACTCTGTCGCCAAAATGGCAGGAGGAAGACCCCCTACGGTGAGAAGACATGGCTCTTCAGCCCTTGGCCCGGAATAATGATGGGCTCCCTGGCGTTTTACCCAAAGGGGGACTCCCGGAAAGAAATGTCTGCCTGAGAGCGTTTATCATTTTGCATGATCGACAAGTGGCGCAAATTATCAAAAGGCTTGAGCCCGCGCACCCGCAGTCTCGGGGACAAGGAAAGTGATAGCCTGGGATGCAGTTTCCGTAAATCCGAGCGACGCTGGCCACCGCAAGTAACACCAGGCGGCGGGTGCCGTGCGCGCGGGAGCGACCGTCGTGAAATTACACTTCCGAATGTCTTAAACATTCGATTCGCATCTTTCGAAAATTAGGCTGAGGTTATTTTTTACGGCTTTGAGATTGTTCTCTGGACAGATTGACAGAAATAAGGAAATTGGGGATTCTACCTTTACTCCTCCAGTCCTAACACCAGATTCCAGCACCGCTTTGAGGTGCCGTAAAAGCCAAACCGCTCAATTCGTCAATATAAAGATCGTGCAGGTGAAATATACAACCGGCTGCCTTCCAAACGTGCGGTTTAATGTCCTAAAGCGGTCAAATGTGGTTCCGTCAAATGTGCTATCTTGTTTGTCCACCCGTTCGCCACGGCTAATGTTAGCCGCGGGACCGGCGCTGCACGGCCTGCGGCAACTGCAACGCCTGGCGGCGAGGTTTTTGTTGCTAAAATTTCAGGGTGCGCATGCTCATAACTACGTTACGCAATTTGTACTACTAACCAATTCCGACTGAATGTTGAACATTTCCAGACAAAAAGCCTGTTGTTGCAATTGGCTGGCTCACTTCGATATACATTCGCGGATCCTTAACAGCGCTGTACTGCCCAGGTAAGATTTTGACAAAACTTCTGAGTTCTATCGGTGTAGAAAGGTTCTCTGGGTCGTTGTAAAACAAAGAGCGCTTGTGATGTATTTCATGCAGTTGTTAAGCGCATGGTTTCCTCAGCTGAGTTGCTCTAACATTTAGGCAGGGTCCATCTCGTGCTAGCTTTTGGCTTTTCAGTCATACAAGGTAACAATGAGATGTGTAAAAAGCATGCCCTCGGTAACAAATGGACGATATTCCTTACTTTTTGACGGCCTTTTTACTATTAAGGGGCCCTTTGTCAAATCGGTGCCCCTCCCTCGCCAAGGCTCTGACTGTGCACCTGTTCTGAAATATAGGGGCCCATCGGTCAATGGGGCCTTTTGTCAAGGCTCTGCTCCCCATTCCAAATTCGGACACGCCACCCCTGATTGTAAGTCGAAATGGTGTCCAAAATCTATATTGGCATGGCTAACCCATGCCTGCCTTGAAATGTTCAAAATTCAGTCAAATCAATCACAGATAAATATTATGCAGCGTGGTCTTGAACATGCGCGCTCGCAAATCTTGCAAAAATCTTGACGCCCGGTGTTGCAGTCTCCGTAAGCCGCACGTTGTCGGAGTCGCGCCTAACACTAAGCGGTGACCAACGAGCAGATGAAAAAGATGACACATCTGAAGGAAGTGTTTTTGGCCGCCTCAGGAAACCAATTCGTACCTCAAGAAAGTAGTCCGGGCGTATATTTCACACGTGCGGTATTTAGATTGATCTTAAGGACGACTTAGCCTTTACAGCACCGCGAAGTGGTGCTGAAGTCGGGTGGTGGAACTGGAAAAGGTAGAATTCCTATTTTTCGTGTCGTTTTAACTGTTAATTTGACCAATGGGCACTCTTAGAAACTCTAAAAAATATTTATTTTGAAGGACTTTCAGAACATCATTTCAGGACGGTCGTTCGCACGCGCAGGACGCCCGCCGCCTGTAGTTACCTGCAGTAGCCAACAGCTTTCGGTTTTACAAAACTGCGACCCCGGCCATCGCTGTTCTTGTCCCTGAGATTGCAGGCGTGCAGGGCTTAAAACTGTTTTATGTTATTTGTTTCACTCATCGATCTTGCAAAAGAATGAACGTTCTTATTCTAGCATGGATCGGTCTTTTTATTGTTAACTTCACCTGAATCTACTCTATTTATCATTTCTTAGACCGCTTACGCTTTCCGGGCAAGGGATCCGTGAGTAAAAACTAGAGAACACATTGTCGTCACCTGCCCAGGGCTGAAGGACCATTCTGTCCTAGCGCGAGGCGCATTTCGGCTGCTATTCTGGCGACACGCGGTGTCTCCTGGTGGATCCGGAGGCCCTTAGAGGTATACATCGTGCCATTTTGAACGTCATGATTGTATGCTGAGGGACTGAAGGCAGTCATGCAGAAAAACCAAGGCTATGCAAAAAGACAGACCTGAGCCTCGCACAAGAGGAGCGTCAGGTTTGCCCCTAAATCTATCCGATCGTCATACCTGGCAGGATAAGATGCTGCCATTTCCCACCTGAAGTAACTGTGTCAGGTGCGGTTTGAGGAACATGGCTGGTGAGTTAGGTAAATCGGCATGCATGTCAAATATAAGACAAAAGTAAGATTAATGCAAATTAAATCTGAAAATTGGGAACGGAGCAGTTAACATTACTGGCTCCTCCTTTACGCGATGTATTCATGCGCCGCAAAAGTGGTGGGACATTCCCCCCCCCCCTGGCCCCCTGTTCCTACACCCATGAAGGCGGCTACTGTAAAGCGAAGCCCGCTGCTACGGAAACACAGCACATCCAATACTTCGTGGGGTGTGGGTCGTGTAGCTACTGCATTGTGGGACAACACAGAAACATTGCGACATTGCTGACAAGTGGCAGCACTGAAAGAAATGAGATCTGATATTTGCAGTGGTAGCAAATGCGGATCTCTGGAAGTTTTTGGAGTGGACAGCACTCTAGCCACAATAAAAATCTGCAGAGCCAGGTTTGTAAGCTGGATAAGCGCAGTTATGTCGCGGTAAACGGATCGTGAACTCATTACGGTAACAGGCCTCAAATGATGTTTCCGGATCATTTATTTCACTGTTCTGGTGTGCCACTCAGCTGCGGCGCATGAATACATCGCGCGAAATCAGTAAACACTATGACAACGTATATCTGGTTCGAAATCATGCTGCCCTCATGGACTTATGATGGATTTTTGAAACAGGTATCACCTCTCAGTACGCACACGCATATAAAGAGAGCAAGGGCGAGGGGTCGCCGACCGATTTTCGTCAAGATTGTAAGCGATTCACGAAATGCTGCTGCTGCAAAAAATAAGTTTACCAATGGTGCTTGCTTTTCATGATCTACAAACGTCCCTGCCAGTCAACACAGCACACTCGGCCCCCGCCAGGCATCCCGGCAGCCAGAGGTTGGATCAGCCAGGACATTCTATGAATGATGTTGATGTATGAATGAAGCTTGTTCGGCGCAACAAAGAATCTAAAGCATGCGGAATTAGATTTTCAACGCCCTTCAGAAGTATGTTCGTATATGTTGTTGCTGAACGGCGAGGCCATTATTTGAAAGATAACTAAGATAAGTGTATCTAAAGTAGAAACGAAAAACTCAAGCTTAGAGGCATCGCGTATACTTATATACATATATGTACATGCACATATATATATATACATATATATACATATACATTCTTATATATATAAGTAAATAAGTAAACAAGTAAGAGCAAGAAAGAAAGTGTTTTTCTTTATGCCCTATGGATTTCGCAAACGACCCAGGGAGTTTGCAAACTGCCTAGAGTATTTGCAAAGTTCCTTATCACCCAAGGAGTATACAAACTTCCTAAAGAACTTGCAAGCGCACAGTTCGGAAAGCGAGCTTCCAAATTCCCTTAGTTGATTGCGAACATCCCGTTTCTCACACTTAGTTTAACACACATGCATACATTATATAATTATGGATATGGAGCGTGCCGACCAAACTGAGAAGACAGGTGCTTGCGGATTTGCTTTGCCAGGCGACCGAGCTGGCTCTGAGAACGGATGAGAAGACTTGATGAGTTCCATGGACAGTCTGCTTTTGCATTATTTTTGGATGCCGCTCAATATCATTCATAGAATGTCCTGGCTGATCCAACCTCTGGCTTGTTCGGCGCAACAAAGAATCTAAAGCATGCGGAATTAGATTGTCAACGCCCAACTTGATGCCGTATCCAACAATAAATAACTTTATGATATATATATATATATATATATATATATATATAATATATATATATATATATATATATATATATATATCTCTCTCTCTCTCTCTCTCTCTCTCTCTCTCTCTCTCTCTCTCTCTCTCTCTCTCTCTCTCTCTCTCTCTCTCTCTCTCTCTCTCTCTCTCTCTCTCTCTCTGCGCGTCTGTGGGCTGGCGTGCATGCATCCCTGCGTACGTGCATGCGTGCGTGTTCGTAAGCAAGCGCGCGTGTGCGTATATTGTCTGCGACCATCGAACACAAATGGGAATTATTTACCCAGTGCACGGTGTTTAGGGCCCCATCTAATGTTGCACTGAGGCGTCGGAAGGTGTGGGAGTGGGACAACCGCGATGGTGTCACCTACCGGCTCTCTCCCGCGCGCACCACGCATTCTTCGGCGGTGTCGGCTCGGGAGCCGTGACGTCACGCCCGGGGAGGGGGGTGGGGCTGGGGTACGCGCGCGCGGCCGCGGCGGTCGGCGGAGCGGGTCTGCGTCGGCCGAGCCAGACGTGCCGACGGTCAGGCGGAGGCGGTGCGGCGCCGGCCTCCGTCCCGCACCATGGGTGAGTACCGCGGAGGGCTGGTCATGGTCAACCCCCCCGGCGGCACTGCGGCGGGCTGCGGACAGTGGCTCCAGGACTGACGGTGTCTGGTCCGTACCGCAAGTGGGCTGGATCGTCGAAACGATGTCGTCGATGCCGTTGTTTGGTTATGTCGTGCTGTTGTGTTCGGTCGGGCGAGTCTAATGTTCTAGGTTAGCGGGCTAGCGTCGGACTCACGTGTACGCCGCTTGTGGTTTCGTGCAGGCATTGCCAACTGATGTGCACTTCGGAGTTTTTCAACGCCTGGAGGCCCTCTGCAAACGTGGACCATCAGTGCGAAATGCAAACCATTTTCTTTGACGTGGTGGAAAGATAATTTCCCCAATTTAGCATCGTAGCTGCGGGAATCGTCCTTTAACCTGGCCCATCGCTAAGTCAAACCGGCGACTGTCCCGGTGCCCCCTGCTGTCTGCCGTCTATGCCAGAGTTAACACTGCAAGGCGCATGACATGTGTTGCATTGTTATGCTAAGCATCCGATGGGATGTTGGCACGTGGCGTGCCGGCTGCGGCTCGCGCCTGGTCCTCGTTTGTTCCGATCCAGAATCATAAAAACAAACATCAGTTGAATGCACCGACGCCGATGGAAGAGCCCGATAACCGCCGGGCCATTAAGTTTTTATGTGGCTGCTTATAATTTTGGGGGCGTGACGTCGGGTCCTCGACCCCCTGCGATATCGGACTCGGCTAGCTATTGAGCCTGCTTTTCAATTTATGTCTGTTAAGAAGTGTGATCGGTTTTTTAGATTTAAATTAGTTTCCCCGTGTTCGGTTCATTTCAACTTTTTCTGTAGTGATCCGGGAAAAAGCCGCTAATACGTTCACCTGGTAACACGAGGTCGCTGTAAACAGCCTTAACTGTCTGGAAACTGTGACCCAGCACCCCACGAGTTCCACCGCCTGTACGTGTCGCCTCTTGTCAGAGCCTGTGCTCGCCCTTGCGACACGGCCGCTAAATCAGCGGTCATTGTCCCTCGTATGTCTGTATTTTCGCCAGCGGACGGCAGCGTTTCTTGAGATGCATCGCCTCTCAGTTGAACACGGCCAGCCAGCGCAGGATCGATGGCCACCGTGGAGCCCATCGAGCAGGCGGCGCCCGGAGTGCGGTTTATTCCCTGCGTGTAGCCGTAACTCTCACCGAACCTTGCGGCGCGAGGACGTCTCCGCTCGCCAGACCCTGCCCTGGAGGACTGTCATGCAGCTCTGCTGTCGAACCGATCATGCATGGGCATCCGGACCTGACTCATGGGTCAAGACAGGCGGCCTCTCGCAATGCCGAACGGCCGGCGACGGCGTGGGCTCGCCGCCGCCCAGATCACCCTCACCGACGACCAAGCTGGCATCTGCCGGCACGTTCTCCGGGATCCGCCATGGCCCTTTTATTGCAAATACCTCGGCGACGCCCGGCATTTCAGGCCGCACCTGGATCGAGGCGGAACTGCGGCCGCAGGGTGAACAGGTTCTGAAGGGCTCGCCGGTGGAACCCCGTAGTCATAAGAGAGCCCGCGAGGTTCCGCCTGCTAACAATATGTCTCGAAGTATTGCAGTCACGTAGTTCCAGTGTGACACCCGCGACCTTTCGGCCAGAAATGAGACGAATTATCTGTTGCATTCGGCACACCTGATTTACAAGATGTTTTAGTGTTACAAAAGACAGCATATTTTTGGCTGAAGTATCACTGCCAGCGGGAAGTTGGAGGGCATCCTGTTAAAAGTTAACTTACTTCTATTTTGGGCATCGTTTCGCAATAATTTCAGCTTATGAGCCCCGCAAGCCGGTTGCGCTAACCCAGGCAACCGCCCAACATCTGTTTCTGGACATTTAAGCCGTACAGCAATGTCTTCGCACAATCCCCAAGACCACCCGTCATTGCCAATACCTGAACACATGACGCGATGGTCATAGCTATGGCTGCTAAACCCACAGCCTGGCCCACGCCCCTTCGACACGGGCTCACGTCCGTCGGCACCGGCTCACGGACCGGCGCTGCCTCAGGCGGCAGCCGTGACCGCCGGCTCGCGGCGAAGGCGGCCCATTTCCCAGCCTCATCCGAGGTCTCCAGGCACCGGGCGAGCGTGAGGCCGCTGCAGCCTTATGGCCACCCAGAGCCAGCTTAGTGCGAGTCCGGGATATCGACAGCCAACCAGACGAGGGCGTCTGGCCAGCAGCCTGCGCATTCCGATGAACTGACGTGCTGATTGGGCGGCGCACGGGCCAAGCGCGGGGGAACAATCCACACTTGACGTTTCGGCTTACATGCACCATCTCCGGGAGGTGAACCGAATCAAAAGCGCATGTGTATAATTATTGTCTAAGATGTGGATATTACGACGTGTTTTTGCTAGATTTCGCACAGAAAATGCCACAGACGAGTTTAGCTGTTAAGCGAACCAAGAAGACATGGCTGGAGTTATCCGTGCAATCTGGATCAACATTTTCGTTTGCAGTGGGCTTAGGATGGCCTTTCGAGAGTCATATCTTATCTACGCCAGGGGCTCAATGCCGCATCGACGAGTACGATACCGATAAAGTACTAGATATACGACGTTGGGTTTTCGTTACCAGCGTTACCGACGACTCAATTCCGGATTCTGGACTTCTGGCAGTTAGCTCAGTCAATTTGCTGAAACATAGTCGGTTCTAACCAGGGAGCAGCACGTAAATCACAGGCGTGGTACTCAGTTGGAACATTTTCTATGCGGGAGAGGGAGATTGATAGCACATAGCTTACAACGTTGCACACGTACACGCATACACCCACACACCCACACCCACCCACACACCCACATCCACGCCCACACCCACACCCACGCCCACACCCACTCCCCCCACACACAATACATATACACGTTTCCACTGACAAACTGCTTCAAGCGTTTTGCATGGAATCTCAGTATTGCGGGACACAAATAAACAGCAATGACTGCCAAGTAGCCAAAGTTCAGGCCTACGAGGCATGCTGTCCACAGCCGTATCAATATTCACCGTCCTTGCATTCTAAACACGTGGCATTATTTCCCAGGCTCGGGCGAGACCAAGGCGCGGAGAACGGTCCAATGCGCGACAGAGCTTGCCGTCGCGGCCCCGTCACCCCGTGACTTGCCGCGCGACACCTGACACGGCACGACGTGCCGACAATGCGGACCAGGTCCCGCGGGCTCGCCCCACGGCGGCTGATTGCCCGCGTACGGATGCTCGCCTATGGCAGCATCAGTTGTCGGCGCAGTCGCCAGCGAGTCTGATTTATCTGCGATATCTCCGCCAGCGGCGGGCCACTGCTGTCGGCGGCAGAAATTCCGCCGAAAACTTTAATATGGAGCATGACATCTCTCCTCTCGGAACCAAGTGTCGAGCCGAATTCTGATGCCCCGACACGACATGGCGCTCCGTATTTCCCAAGTTGTTAATTGCATGTCAACGCGATTTCACCAGTCGGCGACCAGGCTGGGCGTGATCTGCGGCCGGCGCGAGTGATGACGTCATGCCATTGTCTCACGTCATGCCAGCGTACTCACCGTCCACCGATTCATCCCAGTATTCAGCCACTTGGTGCATCAAAATGGAGAAGCCGCCTAGGTTCGCCTAAACAGCCGTGTATCTGTGGTCCAAATCCACAGCCGAGTGTCTACCAGTGGTCCTCTTCCACAACCAAGTGTCTACCAGTGGTCTACATCCACGACCGAGCGTCTACCAGTAACCCACCTCCACAGCCGAACGTCTACCAGTGGTCCACATCCACAACCGAGTATCTACCAGTAGTCCAACTCCACAACCAAGTGTCTACCAGTGGTCTACATCCACGACCGAGTGTCTACCAATAGTCCACCTTCACAGCCGAATAGTCCACCAGTGGTCCACATCCACAACCAAGTGTCTGCTAGTAGTCCAACTCCACAACCGAGTGTCTACCAGTGGTCCACCTCCTCGTCCGTGTATTCAGCCATCTGTTCACCTCCACAACGGCATATCTGACTGTAGTACGTCCGACGGCTTCGACCTGCGGCCCCGCCCAGTCAAGGGGTCATCTGACTCGGTCTACGCCCGGCAGCGATCGCCAACGATGACGACATGGAGGCGTTCTTCAGCGACGTGGTGCGGTACCGACCGCAGGAGCTCGACCAGCTCACCAGCGCCACCAAGTTCAGCCGGCGAGAGATACAGCACATCTATCGCGGCTTCAAACAGGTACACAGGTGAACGTCTACTGTCCGCTTCAGACAGGCACGCGGAAGCCCATCTGACCCGGCTTCAAACAGGTACACGGATGAACGTCTACTGTCCGCTTCAGACAGGTACGCGGAAGCTCATCTGACGCGGCTTCAAACAGGTGCACAGGTGAACGTCTACAGTCCGCTTCAGACAGGTACGCGGAAGTCTATCTGACGCGGCTTCAAACAGGTACACAGGTGAACGTCTGCAGTCCGCTTCAGACAGGTACGCGGAAGCCCATCTGACCCGGCTTCAAACAGGCACACGAAACGGTGGTCCGTCAGATTTTAACGGGTACGCTGGGGCACATGTGTCACGGCTTAGAACAGGATTGCGGCATAGCAACGCATCTACCAGTTTAAATATAAGAGGGGAAGAGCGCATAAGCCGTGGCTACAAACAGCCGGCACTTACGTGGTGGGGAATCCTGGGCGGACGCTCCTTTTCCGGCCCGACGTCGCGATCTCCCGGCGGCGCTGACCGGGCCATGGCCGGCCCTGCAGCGCTGCTCTTGCGGCCGGCCCGATCCGGGGGCCCGGGCCGGGCTCCTCCGCCGCCGGCCGCGACGCCCCGTCGTAAATACGACATTATCGACACGCGGCCGAACGGAGCAGCGGCGTGCAGCCGGCCGGCCGCCGCCGCCGGCCCAGATAGAAGGGTCGTGGCGCAGGCAGTTCGGGCTCCCCCGGCCCGTTTGCCCCGCGGATAGCGAGCGTCTAACGAGCGCGGAAGCGCGCAGGAGGTGGCCTAAGTGATGAGGCGAGGTGTCCGACGCGTGCAGAAGATTTGGTGCCGCGGCGTGGCCCTTTATTTCAGGATGGAGCATTCTAGTGACGCGGGCGTGAATAATGGAGGGCCTAGCGTCAAAGGAAATAGTCCACGTTGGAAGATTTTGAGGCAAACGCCGGATGGTGAAAAATCTCACTTGTGACTGTTACAGTTTGTTTTAAAGCGCAAAGACCTGCTTAACACAACACAATTTTGCTATTTAGCAAGTATGCTCCTGTACGATGTACGTCATCGTTTGATTACGTCATGGAGCGTTTGCATGACGTCAAAGTCGCTGCCAGATGACCATGCGATAATGCTCACTATGGCGGGCGGGCCGACTCACTCGCAGTACTTCAACCTGCTTAAAGGTGACTTGTCAACTGGTGCATGTTTGCGGAACCCGCTTACCGTTATGAGCACGCGTTTTAACCTTTTCGCGATGTCCTTGCACATTTCCACAGCATTGCTTACTTGCATACACATACTCGGTTATGGCGCTACTCCAAATTATTCGATTCCCAGTCTTACTTCCGTCAAAACTCGGCTAGTGCCCAGATTCCTGTAGTATATAGCCCAGAGCGTGACTCGTGGCCGGAGCTTGTATTAAACTCATCAAAATAGTCGAAAACCAGCTGATGACCCTTGATGCCATGACTCGTGCTGACCCATGACAGCCGGAAATAATTCGGTGAGCATATTTGTCCTGGCCTTGAAAACCACATGGCCAATGTGCTGGCGGTTTTTGCAAGATGTTTGTATGGCGTCATGCATGTTTAGGTGACCTTGAAGTAGTTTGTGCTAACTAATCTGCGCAAGTTTGCGGACCTTAAGCCAAGCAAACAGGAGAGTTTGAGGTCTAAAAAAGGGTATGACTGTGAATTGCACTGCATAATCTTTAAAATGGATGATTCAGTTCAAAACCTCATAACAACGTGGAAAACTCCTTCAACGCGGCCGATTCAGAACCTATCGTTGAGCGAAGTATGATTTCTCTTTTCATCTGCGATTTGAAATGTCATGACTAAACTTTGGAGCATGTGATTTAAACCCTTTTAAGACTACGCTTCGTTCTAGATTGCAAAGCCCAAGACATGGGTCATTAATCCTCAGATGGAACTGTCTGTATTGGGAATCTGACGTTCCCAGTTGTTCAGATGCGGTTCCGAGCTCTGCTTCGCTGCATCACAGACGTTTTGCGATGACAATGTGCAGCTAATGCATCCCTGCTATTATCCGACCTGATATTGTACCCATGTATAGCAAAGTATATATATATAGCATACCTATTGAAATACACCACTTTTTAATCTAGCAAATAGCTCTTGACGGAATTTTTATCAATTTTATTAAAATTATCACTGATGATGATGATGATGATATCACTGATGACTGATGAGTTTTTGAGGAGGGGTTCACACGGCTGCTCACGGAGATTAAGGGGTTTAATTCCCGTTAACAGCACAGTAGTTTTTGAGAGAATGAATTGAGCGAAAGCGACCCCTCTCGCAAGTTTTGTGATATGCTGATCCTAAATAACAACCTCTTCTCTACTTGGATTAGTCCATATACACGCCTTTTCTTGAACAAAGTGCTCACCGGTGCCTACAGATAACAGGTGATTCACCATTGTGTTCTCGAAGTGTTCTCCCTCAAGCTCAACAAATCGCAAACCGTTTTGCGTCGCCTCTGGAGCCACCTGAATGGTGCCAATGGAAGACGCTGGAAGGATGCATATACTACTGACCCATATGCACTGTAAGCAGACCTTCCTCCGCAGTGTGATACAACGTGTTGATCTTCTACAAGCGATGTGTCATACTGACGCAGCTCAAAACCGAAATAAATGGCATGTGGGCCATGGTCCACCGGCCTGCGCCCGTCCGCTGCCGGCTCCGCGGTCTGCAGTCATGTGAACCACGTGACGTCAGTGGTTCGCGGCGCTGGCAGAGTGGTTCCCGGGACATGGCGGAGATTGTATGCGGACGTCTGCATACTCTGCTGGAAATGTGGGATTTGTGAACATATATGGTGCTAGTGTGCTTACCTGCCGGTGCACTCGAGCGCGCCGCACTCCAGAGTTGTTAGCTGCGGGTGCAGCCGAACGCGCCACTCTTCAGTGTTGTTAGCTGCCGGTGCACTCGAGCGCGCCGCACTCCAGCGTTGTTAGCTGCCGGTGCAGTTGAGCGCGCCGCACTCCAGTATTGTTAGCTGCTGGTGTAGCGAAACGCGCCACTCTTCAGTGTTGTTAGCTGTCGGTGCAGCCGAACGCGCCGCACTCCAGCGTTGTTAGCTGTCGGTGCAGTTGAGCGCACCGCACTCCAGTGTTGTTAGCTGCCGGTGCAGTCGAGCGCGCCACTCTTCAGTGTCGTTAGCTGCCGGTGCAGCCGAGCGCGCCGCACTCCAGCGTTGTTAGCTGCGGGGGCAGCCGAGCGCGCCACGCTCTAGTGCTGTTAGCTGCCGGGGCAGTCGAGCGAGCCGCGCTCCAGAGTGTTGTTAACTGCGGGTGCAGTTGAGCGCGCCGCTCTCCAGCGTTGTTAGCTGCGGGGGCAGCCGAGCGTGCCGCACTCCAGTGCTGTTAGCTGCCAGTGCAGTTGAGCGCGCTGCACTCCAGTGTTGTTGGCTGCGGGGGCAGGCGAGCGCGCCGCACTCCAGGGTGGACGTCACGTGTAACTGCAAGATATGATTTGTTCAAATAATTTTGTGAAAGCTGTTGCCGTGTTGTGTAGTAGTATGCCTTCGTGCTCAACTGCTATCGCATGCCTCAAACCCCACAAAAGTGGTACGATGAAAAACAATCGTTATTCAGCAATCAGCTAAGATCATCCCCATAAAATGGATCAGAAGCCAAAAGGCTGCAGTCATCCTCGAAATGTGTTTGAGAGTGCAGCAGCAAACCCACGCCGTTTTGGCTGCATTTCTCGTGGCTTGCCGTGCCAAATTTGTCAGTAAAGCATTTTGTGAGCGTGTCTTGCCTAACAAGCTGTCTTTTTATTGCAGGAGTGTCCCCTAGGCACGGTGGATGAAGACAGATTCAAGCACCTATTCTCGCAGTTCTTTCCATTTGGAGGTAATTTCAATCTGAAGGACTGGGAGCACCTGGTGGCCCCTTACCTTACCTTACCCTTACCTTCAATATGAGTGTTAAGCTCATAAAATGTCACGCTTTCCTAGAGGCATACAGGCTACTAAAGGATGCACGAACGTTTGGATGTATAGGTTGTGCCAATGTTGGTCAAAATTTAAAGTCTGTACAATATTAAACGTGAAATCTGAAAACCTCGATTTGATTTTTTTCTGTACCAAAAGTTGTGACTAAGAAAAGGATATTTTGTGGCACTTATGGATCTGCCACGATCTTTGATGAGACAGTCCGTCAGGCTGCCCTCCATTTTAAAGGTCTGCTTTTCATCACGGGATCTCACGCTGTTTCGTCTCCATTCGCATGCCAATATCCGTCCCGATCGCCAAACTGGCTACAACGCCTGTCTTCCGATCTGCCTGCTCGTAAGGGGTGGGTTCGAGTCGCTTTTGGCGCTCGCGGTTTGACCTGGACAGGTATGGCCTGCGGCCGGTGGCAGCGGTCGCACTGAAGATCAGATGACGTCAGAGAGCAGGACGGACCATGCCCAGCATTGCAGCACGCAGACGTTTCAGTACCAAATTATGTTGTTGACCTGGGATTGCACGTTATGATGTTATGGGGCAAGGCTCACACAACAAGCGCTGCTTAGAGTAAGTTCGGATCCTAAAAATTCATTCATTAAAAAAAGTTTGGACTAAATCTTTAAAAACTTTAAAATGTTAAAACAGCTGATGCTGCTTAACCGCCATAGCAGATCCACGGCATACCCTATTTCCGACTTAGTTCGCGCGGGGAATGGTGTTTCCATTGTTCATATCGTGCATATAATGGTCTGTCCACCCAAACGTTGTAAGCGCATTGCATGCACGTCAAAAAGCGGGTGACGTCACCCGACAAAAAAGGTAGCGTGTAACAACTACCTTAGGGTGCTCAAGGTGAGGTCCGGAAGGGCCTGCTGGTCGCAACATCAGTCATGCGTAAGGCCCAAATTTCAAATAGCCTCTTAAATCATCTCAAATATTCAGGTACACAAGAAAGCTGCAATCGATAAGCCACCGCCAATGGTCTACAAACATGGCAAAAATAATAAAAGCCGTTGCAGCGTGCCCAGACTGGCGATGGAATAAGGAAGTTAGTGCTGTGTGCAGCGGAGGCACCTGTCGACAAGTATGACGTAAGAGGCAATATGACATAGCATGACGTATTAGTCAGACGCCCGGCTTATAGCCTGAGATACGTGCGTCAGGCGTCCGAAAATGGCGCTTGTGAGCAGACTTGGAATGTGGTATTTTGAACTTACGAGACATGTTCTTAAGTAGTGCTCATATAGTGTCTCAGTGAAATAAAATCGACAAGGTTCAGGAGAACTCACACCTTTTATTTCGGCTGGTGTCTGATGTGAATAACTTGGTGTTTCCTATTTCAGACGCGACGAAATACGCTCAATTCGTTTTTGGCACTTTCTGCCCACGAGGAAGCAACATCATCAATTTTGAGGTGAGCAGTAATAACCATCATCGTCTGTGGATGGCCTGAATTCCATCTCCTTACCATTCATGAATAACTCCTTTTTTCCTCGTTTCTTGCGTCCGTAATCTCAGGATGCTGAAAAAGCGTCTGTGTTTCTGCTTTTAAATGGGAAAGGGCCGCGAACAGGCAGTGTCTGGGGCCCCATTCTCAAACAGCGCCGCTTCCGCTTGATCTTGCTATTGACAGTGTCATTATCTATTTATCCTCCCGCTCCGCAGAGGATGCTCCACAACAGTGTGTCCCCACAACGTTGTAGCAATCACTAACAGCGAAGAAAAGAGTTGGCGTGGTACTGAATATGTATTTTGAGGGAAATCAACAGCCTATATATGAAAGGATTATGTATATTGGCCCAGTGAATCTTTCACGCTTCAGTGGACCGTGAAGGTGAACGGGGTTTGTTGCGCACCGGGACCGAGAAGGGAAAGCGAAACATGCGGTAGGTAACACAGGAAAACGGAAGAAAAAACTGTTGCCCGCCAATGTGCCAGGAATATCCTATGGGGCGTGCCGCCTCGTCCCGGAGAGTGGCATTAGTGTCCGCGGCCTGACACGTGATCGGTGGATCGCCGCAACGCCGCCTCCGTCGCTGTCCCCAGGCCCCCGAATGGCTGCACGTATCACGCGCTGTCGCCAGTCCTCTGTCCCGGGAGAGTCTGTTGCCCGCCTCCCAGGCGGGGAGTCCACCTCCTTCCCTGGTCAGAGTCCAACTTTCTTCACCTCTCTGAAGAGAGTCCCCCGCCCGTCCTGAGGAAGCGGCCGTTCGTCCCTCGCCCTGAGGTAGTCTGCTGGTGGAAGTCTTCCCTTTTTGAAGGAGCCCACCTTCACTCTCCCGACCTGATGAGCTCATCACCCGCCTCTCGCCCTGAGGGGTTCACTTTCACTACTGGTCTCCCACACTGACGGGACCACTAACCATCTCCCACCCTAATGAAGGCCGTCATTCTTCTCTCGCGCTGAGAGAGTCTGCCACCTGTTTCCCTTCCTGGGGTGGGGGGAGGGAGAGGGGGGGGGGAAGGGGGCTCGCCTACCGACTGCGGTCTGAAGAAGTTGGGCTGAAAAAGTCGCTCGCGGCCCGACCGGGCCATCTGTTCGTGCAGTCTATACAGCAACCGGATCAGCTCGTCAGATGACAGTTTGGCGCCAGAGTGCTGCACCGATCACGTTGACGGCAGCCGGAACGTCTCGAGCCGAAACGCGGGGCAGCTGTACGGCCGCACGTACTCCCAATCAGAAGCTGTCGGAAAGGTACGCCGCCTTTGGTAGCTCGACCGATGATAAAAATGCAGCATGCTTGGTGCGGCGGAGGCGGATGGAGGCCTGGCCAGGCCCAAGCGTGGAGTTATCATAACCTTTGCTAATCCTCTTGCATATGGGCGGAAGTTTTCTTCTTCGTGGTTCGCGCAGATAATCGAATGACGTTTTCAGTACAGTTCTAGAGGCTCCTGAGGGCACTGGAGACGGTACCACTGTCGGGCGAAGAATGTCCGTGAAGTTAGCGATTTCTTCAGTGATTTATGCGGCGACGAGTTCCGTTTTCTTTGAAAACAAGGTCTGAAGTTCGATTATGATACGAACTCATGAAGAAAAACGTTTATTTTGCAATATCATGCGACCTTCGAGGTCAAAAGCCGGGTCAGAAGATGGGGAACTCGATATCCTCAACAATTACCGGCCGATCTAAAAGCTGTTTGATGCTGAAAGTTTGAAGTCACTCGGCGGCCCTCCAGATCAGGTTGGCACTCGTGCTGAAAACGTAAGATACATAAATACCCCTTTCTGAGCACGAAACGGCACTTTCCAACCAAACAGACATAAAACCGTCTTCCTGCTTTGATTCACCCCAAAACAACCCAGAGCCGACCGAAGTCAAACAAGGTCACTATGGCCGTTGGCCTCGAAAAAGAGGCCGACCAATCACAAGTGACCCGTGTGCCAATGGGCATACCTTGCATGATTTTGGCGCCCAACGTTACCTCTTAATGGAGAAGCAAACAGCAGTGCTGGCATTAACAGCTGCCGGAGACCAAATTTCGCTCAAAAATATGTGGAGGAACAGGTCACCATTTATGGCAAAAATCATGTCACTCGCCCTCATCATTTTTCCGTCGTCTCAGAAATGCTGGCCAGGGGTTGGGCTTGATAACCAATCCTTCCTTCAGTGAGGGGTTTTCCTGCACGTGATGCAAGAGTAATATTAGGCCTAAGGCAAAGTAGATAAATGATAGGTAGAAAATCTCTTTGACACGCTTCTTCACCCATGTCCCTGAAGTTAGCAATTTATTCAGCGATTTATTCAGCGACGAGCTGCGATTTCTCTTAAGAAAGGTTACAAGGTCAATGATGGCACGAGAACATCGAAAATCACCCTTATTTTGCAATATCATGTGACCTTCCACGTCAAAAGGTGGGTAAAAGGACGGTGAACTCGACATCACCCAAAAATTACCGACCGATTTGAAATCTGTAAGCATCAAATTATTTACAAGCGCAAGGGCTAGCGTCCGTCAAAAAGTCCTGACCTTTCAAGGGTATCCTTCAAGGTCAAACGCGAGCTCGAAGGACGGAAAACTCATTATCACCCAAAAATTTCCGGCCTCAGATTTAATACATTAGATAAATAAATTAGATTTCATTAGATTGATTAGATACCGAGTCACCTACTGATTCTTGTTTCGTTTCTGCGTCTACGTCTGCGACTCGTCTGCATCTCTAGCTCCATTTTAAATCAAACAACGGTCGGTGTTCGGCGAAGAGTGATAAATACTCCACATCCCAGCCTCGCACCTCGCTCACCAACGATGGAAATGGAATCGAAGCAGCTCTCATAGATAAGACAGTAGTAATAGTTTTATTCCTCGGAGAAAACCCAGGAGATTGGAGACAGAGATGCGCTAGCACTTCCAATTTTCGTTGAATTCACTTCTATTGTTTCAATAAAGGTATGTTGCCGAAATATCAACGCATTTTTATCTCCATTCTCCTGGTTTTTCTCCGGGAAATAAGACTACTACTACCGTCTTATCTACGTGAACAATTTTCCTCGGAAATCTATTTAACAAATTATAAAACAGCTCTCGTTCGAAAAGAGTTTAATGCTAAATTTTGCAGGGCTTGAGTAAGGTTCCCTCCGCCCAGCACACAGTCCATATCTCAGGAAAGCTGACACAAGGTTCGGCTGCTTTTGTCACAGCAATCGCTGCCATGTCCAATCTGGTTGCATTTTGCTGGAGATATTCACAGGCAGTGACCTGCAGCAGGCCACTGTGCTGGTGGCCAGGTGCAGTGCGACTACGCCGAGGAGTCCATCACATTTCCACTGTTCACCGTGGTCGCCGAGCGCAGCGTGACGCCGTGTCACAGCCGCGAGCCGACACGGGGCGCCGTGTGACGCCGTGTCACAGCCGCGAGCCGACACGGGGCGCCGTGTGACGCCGTGTCACAGCCGCGAGCTGACACAAGGCGCCGTGTGACGCCGTGTCACAGCCGCGAGCCGACACGAGGCGCGATGATCGTTGACTTCCACGTCGCACTCGAGGGCCCCGGGTGCTCGGTTGCCAAGGACGCAGCGAAACGCCCAGTGACCGTGGGCCAATTGGTTTACGCTGCGCGAAATATTGAGACAAGTCGTTCCTATACAGACGCTAACATACCAACACGAACAGATAGAAAGACGAAGGAGAGTGCCGGCGAACCATGGGACGGTCCCATCAAGCACGCGATACTACCATAAGCTCTGCAGAGAGGCCGCTGATGATCGTCCAGCGGTCACGGGATTTTAAAACTTAAGACTCGAGTTCAACTTGGGACAAAGCTTGACTGGAGACTGTTGAATTAACAAGCTCGTCCTCCGACTCGGATGCGGTTTCCTTTAATTCCGATTTTGATTCATGCACAGGGAAGTTCACAGGCTTGAAATGACACTTCAGGCGTTATAATTCAGGATGTTTAAGTGCCAGGCTGCGAGATGCGCCTTTCAGGGCCTTTTTATTTACTCACCATCACATATCTAGCAAACTTGACCCATGACTAATTCTGCTTTATCCCGGTTGGTTTGGACTTGATGCGGTTGACTCATGCGAATTTCAGTCACGTGTTTCTAACAGTTTGGGTGGAAGGCGGTGAATCAGGGTCAAGGGAAGGTGCCAGCCGAGTCAAAACATCTGTCGCGCGGCTTCATAAAGACAGATGTTTTCTTTACGAAGCGGCTTAACTTAACTGCACATGATGAAAAGGCTGGGGGCAAGGACGCAGTCAAAAAGGGGAGTGCAAAGGGGGAGGACGAAGAGGGAGCGCGAACGGGGAGGGTCTTCCCGGGACAGGCGGAAGCTCCCATGGCAACCCAAGGGGCCCTTCAGGTGCCAAAATGGCTGACAAATGTCTACTTCATACATGAACGTGAAATTCATTATGAAGCTGTAACGCGTCCATGATAAATGAGCCGTTAGCGGGGTTTCCAGAGGCATTTCCAGGTTGAGGCAACCCGGTTGCCTCAAAGGAGGCAGCCTGGTTGCCTCAGGTTGCCTCCTTTTCAGAGCAAAAGGAATTCTTTTTGCTCTGAAACTGCTCCTGTGTGACGAGGAGCAGGCCAAATCCGATAAGAAAGGCAGATTTGCGGCCCCGTGCGAAACCGAGATTTCGGGGTCTCTTTTCTTAAAACTTGACCCCCTCCCTCAGTGAGATCCTGGACTATGCGCCTGGCTGGCGGTGTCAACACTGCAGCTGTACTAGACTGTCGGTATTTCTTCCAGCAGGTGTGGTCATGACGTCACGTGCTGGTGGAACGCGCGGGCATACTGCACGCAACAGATCTCGCCGGTAACAATGAGCTAATGAGAACTTCCCATGTTTTTGTTGGGAATTAACGCAACGCGTCGGCTTTGTTTAGCTAATCTTGCATTCCGTCAGCCACAAATCTAGGCATTTACGTCCAAAATGTCGGGAAATGAGGCGCCTGGCACGCCGCCTAGCTGACGGCGCCGGCTCCGCTCTTCCATTTCCGTGGCGGGGGCATGTGGCGTGTGGTCGCGGGGTGCCGGTGCGTGCCGGATATTTTCCACCCGAGCCGGCCGCGCTGGGAGCCGAGGTGCACTTTACGAGGCAGACTGATCACGCCGGAAGCTACGCCGTGTTTGTGCCGCCGGCGGCCGCCGATTCAGCGGCGCCCCACGAGGCAGCGCCGCTGCCTCTAATGATGTGAGCCCAGGTCGCCGCTCGGACAAAAATAGCCGCAGGCTCGTGATATATCATAAGTCGGCGCATGCCGTGATTGTGTGGTTAGATGCTGTTCTCTGTCCAACATAGATATTGCGTTTGATTAATGATGCGACTTGGCTGTATCATCGATAACAAATGCACACACGTCTACATACACGATAGTATGGGATGGATTGTTATGTCAATGAATGCATTGGACAAAGCTTTGCATTTGTGGGTGAATTGGCGGCTATTTCGGTGACAGACTTAACTTCTTGCCCAATGTAAAAAAATCGGTGTGGCTTCGCAAGCCGTACCATGCAGCCATGGTATTCGCCAGAGGGGCACGTGGGTACGTGTGCCTTTCGAGCAATGACTGAAATCGTACGCGGAGAACATTGCATGGCCATGAACATCTTGGACGGCTGAATCTTTTTGCGATGGCGAAGTTCGTAGCTATTTATATCCGCATCCGTAACACGTTAAAATATTTGACTGATACATGATTGTGTGCTGCAATGGAGCGATGTTACCGGGATTGGCACTGAAGTGAAAAGGAAATTGCAAAGATTAGGAGCAGTACACAACCTTCTTCATGGTAGGTGCGCCTGCCAACAGTAAATATACGATGAACCAACCAAGAAGCGTAGCCGCCATGTAAAACATCACGCATTTCAACGCCGCCGCCAGAGAAGTGCGTGACGACCGGGCACCGTGCCCAGCCCGCATCCCGTTCTCCGCTCGCTGCTGCCTGGGCTCCAGCTGCCCGGGGTGACCCCGCCACCGAGGCGTCACTGCCAGCCCGGAGCGGAGCGCGGCCCCGCACAGCTCGTGACCGATTGGCCGACGCCGTCCGGATTCTCCTTCGGCTCTATGCGCGCCCGCGACTCGTTGCGTTTCTGAGACCCACCCAGGCCGCCTTCTATGGCTCTCGCTGATGCAGAGAAGAGGTGACGCTCCCACATGGTCACATGCCGACTTTTAGGCTAAAGGCGGGATTTCTGGGGCAGAAGTCATGACTTTTGGGGCAGTAGGCTCGGATTTTGGGGCAGTATGCATGGTTTTTGGGGCAGTAGGCGCGAATTTTGTGGCAATAGGCGTAACTTTTGGAGCAGTAGGTGTAACTTTTGTGGCGGTAGGCGTGACGTTTGGCGCAGAATAAGTGACTTTTGGAGCAGTAGGCGTGACTTTCAAGTGGAAACTGTAACTTTATTAAACCTACGCGTGCAACGTATCAAACTGGGGTGTGGTCTTTGTTGAAATGAACATAAAGCCCTCTTTGTGAGAAAATGCCCCGCTCTTTTACACTTTCTTTATGGCTGAGCACGATGCATTCACACAGCTCTATCCGCCTCCGTTTTTACATTGGCTAGACTCTTGATCTAACATCCTTTCGTATCTCCTCTGCTTTTATCTCCTGGTGATCGTTCCTCTCTCTACATTTCTCTGTTCCCACCCCCCCCCCTCTCTCTCTCTCTCGCTCTCTCCTGATTTCCATAAGAACGAGAAATGTAAACCTTCGAGAACAGCACGAGCATGTCCCTCATTTTTTCTCCCTCTCTCTGTTCTTCGCTGATGATGCGGAGGCAGGCGAAGGCGGCCTCGAGCTCCCACCATGCCGCCGCCCAAGGCGAGCGGCGGTGCCTGTCTAGCTCGCGGGGCTTGCGCCGTCACCGGTCGGCTCACGTCCGATGACGCGCGCTGACCCGGCGCCGCCGGCAGGAGTTCCTCTCGTCGCTGTCGCTGGTGGCGCGCGGCTCGCTCCAGGACAAGATCGCCTGGATCTTCTCGCTGTACGACATCGACCACGACGGCCTCATCACCAAGCGCGAGATGACCGAGGTGGTGGGCGCCATCTACGAGCTGCTCGGCGCCTCCACCGACCCCGCGCTGGACGCCGGCGCCGTCGAGCGACACGTTGACGCCGTCTTCGAGGTGGGTGCCGCCGACCGATCGCCGGGCTGGGTCCGGCGTTCCGCGCCCGGCTGGGGGCGTGATTGTGCTGACCGGCCGCCAGGCTGAGTGCGGCATCCTACGTCCGGCTCGGGGTGTGGCTGTGCCGACCGACTGTTTCGTAGCCATCGTATTGATCGGAAAAACCATGGTATTTATGTGTAAAATTCGGTTCACTCCCTGATCCTAGAATAACAGATTGTACGGGAGCGCCAACTTTTCAACAGAGCGATAAGGCAGTGAAGTTCCTAAATGTGAATGGCCCAATCTACGTTTAAGCTCAAACACACTAGAGCAGTTTTTAAATCTGGTTAAGAATCTCCACATTCAGCAGAGATTCTGCTTGAACCCATGATAGGTCATTTTCGACACAATTTGTTGCAGCGCGGAGAGCAACGTGACACCTGCGAATAAAGCGGCTGATATGCACCTCTTGAAGTGGGAGGCAATCCAGAAACCGTTCCGATGCGGTCGGATTCTTCGCTTTTCTTGCATAGGTTACCTCGCACCACCAGCAAGAGTCGGACACAGCGCAGGGAATCGGAGCTCGTTTTACCGCTCGTACCGTCTGTGAGCTGAGCCCGCGGGCCAAAAATCCAACATGACATTTAATTCCAGCAGCCAACAGCTTCACATGTATCACCACATCCGGACGGACGGGTGCAGCGTGGTGCGGCGCGCCGCTCTGGCGCCGCCCCCTCCCCCTCCCGCTGACCAACAATGCCACGCAGGCTGCTCATTCCCAGCCGATGCTGAGTGGTGCGTGCCAACAATGTCCGACCTTCCCGGCATTTACACAAGTCCGGAAGGGTGCGGCCGGGGGGCTGGCAAGTTTGACGTCACCGCTGGGAGACTGCGCTCAGTGGGAGACGACCTGCGAAGGCATCTGTCCCGCAGTGCTGGTGTTGCGCTCCCACAGGTCCCGCGTTCGTCGAGCTGATGATGTGGACATGACGTAGAAGGACAGAGGTCGGCGATCTCGCTCAAACTTCGCACGCTTTCCGAGCTCAGCCAAACAAAAATCCATGCATGCGCCGCCAGTCGAGTGACGTCAATATTCTCGCTTCTGATTTGCCTGACTGGCGTGATGCACCTATTGGCTTTTACAGCTTTATCCGGGATTTTGTAGGCCAGCGCTCAGAGCTGAGCTTCGATCGCATCAACAGCTGTGAACTCAGAACTCTACGAACTCGATGACCTGTAAACTGGGGACTGGGAACAACCAAATACTTATGAGGTGATTCGCCCCTGCTGTCGAAGCATCAGACCGCGCACACTTTATCTTTGAGTGTATTAAGTCATTCGCTTGGTGCCTTCGGAGACCCCCCCCTCCCCTCCCGAGTCGACCCGGACTGCCCCCTACGTTCGACCGGGCGGACTGTGCTGCCTACGCGTGTGGCCGTGTCATCCCCAGCCTGCCGGGCCGAGGTCGGCTCAGGCTGCGCTGCCTCCGTGTGTGCTCGTGTCACCCCCAGCCTGCCGGGCCGGGGTCTGCTCAGGCTGCGCTGCCTCCGTGTGTGCTCGTGTCACCCCCAGCCTGCCGGGCCGGGGTCTGCTCAGGCTGCGCTGCCTCCGTGTGTGCTCGTGTCACCCCCAGCCTGCCGGGCCGGGGTCGGCTCACAGCCAGCCTGCCGGGCGGGGGTCGGCTCAGGTGGTTTCCGCCGCTCTGATCCGATTACGCGGCACGCCGTTTTCATTAGGCCGGGCTGCAGGTACACAGGGTCATCGATCTGTAGACACAGCGGCAAATGCCAAAAAACAATTGCGCCGCCATCACGTGAGTTGGGTGTTAGCGGGATGTCGGGTCTGGGTCTGGTCTGGCGCCCTTTGGTCTGGCTGCGAGCCGTATAGATCGGAGAAGTCGGGTTTGAGGAGTTGTATATCGGCGGGTAACCAAATTGGGTGGTCGCTATAAGACATGTGACATGTGATACGTGACATGGAAGGAAGGCCGCTTCGATATGTCGGGGACTTCCAGCAATGCACATTTCATTTTGCCCAGATTACTGACTTTTCTGAGTTGATTGGAACTAGTTAGCGTCCCGGGTAATTGTCAGACTTTTCCGTTTAAAATGCGCATTTCCATTGCTTTCCACCCATGAACGATGAGTGGACAGGCTGAATAATACGATAGGGTAGACATAATTAAATCCAAATTTACCTGATGACAATGACCACACCACATCAAGGGTAAAATTAAGAAGTGGGTGTACTAATTAAATATAATACAAACTTGTTTTTTTCATTACGGAGATAGAATAAAACAAAGATGCTGACCTCGATTGCCCTATCAGATCTCGAAAATGAAATCCAGATGTGTAAGTTTCACGTAGTAAAAAAACCACTTGACATGATAGCCCCTGTTCGAAAAAACACGTGCCAACCTTTTTGAAAGCTCCCACCGACGATGATTTAACATGTAAAACATAAGTTGAAACATCGCTTTAATCATTGTTTTAACACTGTTGTGTGTGCTTTTTATTGTGGGCTGTTAGCTGTGCTATATTGCCACAGCTTATCTTTGATTATTCTGACTATGAGGCAGGAAGGTTACCTTTATCCACCACAGCTTATCGTCGATTGTTGTCACTGAGCACTGGACCCGCAATCACGCTGGACCTGCTTAGCATCTCAGCAATTCCAGGAAGGAAATGCGGTTTGTGTCGAGTACGTAACTGAGAACTGAACACGATCCAGTCATTCTCGGGATTGAACAACACCTGACAACGACACGAACACCGCAGATAGTTAACTGATTGAAGCGACGTGTGGATGCTAACACACCAGACGAGGATGATAGTCCGAAAGATTGTTGTATCCACAATGACAGCTCGTCTCGACCCCTCCACACAGCTTCAGTCGGTATTGCTTGCTCGCTGACGTCAACGCGATCCCTCCACGACAATAAACCCCCCGCCAACAAAGACCCGCCATCAATCACATAACACAAACTCGAGAGAAATGTGCAAAACCTCGGCGGTGGGTTTCGTCTGGATCGGTACGGGTGGCGTCATTTGTTATCCTGCACTTAGAGTACCAGCGTCAGCATCAGAGCGACGGCGGCGACGCCGCCAACCAGCTCTCCGCCGTGCCAAAGCTCTACGTCTTTCTTCGCCGCCGGTCATTTTTCACTCTGAGCGTTTATTTTTCGCTTGAAAGCACATCGGCCTTCATGGAGACGGGTGGTCCACTTTAGCACGCTCTATGCTGTTCGTCGAATTCTTAACGCTCGCTCACTGCTTTAGTTAGGTTAGTTTAAAGCTCTTTCGACCATCACTGATCATTCCGGACCTTGGGATCAATGAGGGAGACAATAGTGTGGTAGTGCTGCGGCCATTCTGGGCAAACTGCGACACTAAGACTGAACTCATACGGGACGCCCCAACCCGTGCTGTGCAGGAGACAGGGTCAGGCCCGCGGCCAGGGCTGCAGAAGACAGGGTCAGGCCCGCGGCCAGGGCTGCAGAAGACAGGGTCAGGCCCGCGGCCAGGGCTGCAGAAGACAGGGTCGGGCGGCGGGCGGCGTCACGCTCCTGTTGAAGGGGTGGCAGGCGGCGTCACGTTCCTGTTGAAGGGGCGGCGGACGGCGTCACGCTCCTGTTGAAGGGGCGGCGGACGGCGTCACGCTCCCGTTGAAGGGGCGGCGGACGGCGTCACGCTCCTGTTGAAGGGGCGGCAGGTGGCGTCACGCTCCTGTTGAAGGGGTGGCAGGCGGCGTCACGCTCCTGTTGAAGGGGCGGCGGGCGGCGTCACGCTCCTGTTGAAGGGGCAGCGGGCGGCGTCACGCTCCTGTTGAAGGGGCGGCAGGTGGCGTCACGCTCCTGTTGAAGGGGTGGCAGGCGGCGTCACGCTCCTGTTGAAGGGGCGGCGGGCGGCGTCACGCTCCTGTTGAAGGGGCGGCGGGTGGCGCCACGCTCCTGTTGAAGGGGCGGCGGGCGGCGTCACGTTCCTGTTGAAGGGGCGGCGGGTGGCGTCACGCTCCTGTTGAAGGGGTGGCGGACGGCGTCACGCTCCTGTTGAAGGGGCGGCAGGTGGCGTCACGCTCCTGTTGAAGGGGTGGCAGGCGGCGTCACGCTCCTGTTGAAGGGGCGGCGGGCGGCGTCACGCTCCTGTTGAAGGGGCGGCGGGTGGCGCCACGCTCCTGTTGAAGGGGCGGCGGGCGGCGTCACGTTCCTGTTGAAGGGGCGGCGGGTGGCGTCACGCTCCTGTTGAAGGGGTGGCAGGCGGCGTCACGGTCCCGTTGAAGGGGCGGTGGGCAGCGTCACGTTCCCCTGGAAGGGCGGCGGGCGGCGTCACGCTCCTGTTGAAAAGTGGCGTGACGAGTACTCAGGATGAAGCGGTGAACTTTCATAACAAGGTGGATGGACAGCATTTGCTCCGCTTTTAAGAAGTTGTGATAGGCTATCTAGCGTTGAAGTTTAATTCTTTTCTCCAGTAGTTTTTATCCAACGTTTTAGGCTGTGTCCAGTGCACAATCATTCAGGCTAAATTGAGGCGTAAGAAACGCACTTCAGCAGTATTGGAATGCATCCATGAGCACTTGCGATCCACATCACCATTTACGAACATAGCTCAAGCCACACTCCATACAATAGCCTCTCAAACTTTACTTGCGATACCAGTATCTCTCCAACGTTTTCTAGAGTCCTGCACCGGTCTCTAGGGGCGGACCGTTCGCGAATATCCTTTTAAGCCGCGGCACGGGCGTCAAGGTTGGCTGCAGCCCCACACCATTGCCTCTGGTAATTGGATCTGAATCCACGGACGGGGAAAGAATGAACCAGCTCATCAATAAAGCCCCAGGCACTGCACGAGTCAATTAGACATCCTTTTGCCCGTGCTGGGTAGGCCGGTCTATTAGTGTCGGGCGTCAGCGCCATCTCATTAACACAGGGCCGTTTATTCTAGCCGGCGCGACCGGGGACCACTATCAACAAGGCGCTTCCCCCATCGCTCAAGTCCGACGCTGCACCAACGCTCATG